GTTCCAATATGTCAACAATTCATTTTGAGTGGCATTTTGTTTGTGAGTGTGGTAGTTTTGTAAAAGCTCAGGTTCCTACAGGTTAGCCCAATTCCTATGAAGTTACAGTCCTCGGTCTCGAGCCGATGAGGATGATATACAACATGGGTTGGTATGTTCCAACCCAATGGGTTGGATTTTACAAGAAGGTAGACAACTTCTCAGTTTCAAGTTGATAAGGAGAAGAGTGTATACAACAGGGGTTGATATGTTCCAACTCAATGGGTTAGATTTTACCTGAGGGTACAGAGGTAATAAGATCCCAAAGAGTTCCAAAACATTATTCAAGCTCTAGAGTTCTTGGGAAGGGCTCCAGGAGCACAAATATATTCATTCTACCCTTTCCATAGTCTTGTTTTCTACTTGTTTTTCCTTGTGTAACCCACTCTAGGCTAAATAAGGTTGATGAACTTAAATGAATCTTTATGTTATCCGAAACTGTTTATACAAGTTTATTCCGCAAAACTTTCGCATCTTTCTTGTTACTTTTATTGTTTTCTTTAGTTTTGGGGTATAGCAATTGATCGTAGGTTGTGGCAACTGGAACATTGGGCATAGACTGGAACTGAAATTGTTTGCCAATTGTATGGGCGAGTCTAGGAATTAGGGTTTGTGAAATTTCATGTAGTCCCATATTGAGTAAAATAAACTACTTGATACAGTGCTTAAATCTTGAGACTCTCCCACCTTATAGACTAGTTTCTTTGATTAGACTCTTCTCTTGTGCTTAAGTCCTAATCAAGTTAGTCACTGTCTAGGGAATTATAAATATTAATTTTGAGTCATGGTTGAGTCAAGGAACTGAGCTTAACTTAATTGCGTAGAATCAAACCATAATTTCATCATTTGGTTTGCATGAATTGAACTCAAATTTGTAGTATGAAAAGAACGGGATTTTGAGTCCTAATCAAGTTAGACATTGTCAGGGAATTATAAATATTAATTTGAGTCATGGTCTTGCGTCAAGGAACTGAGCTTAATCTAATGTCGTAGGTTCAAACTATAATTCATCAATTGGCTTGCATGGATTGAACTCAAATTTGTAGGATGAAGAGAATGGGTTTTTTTACCCTGTTTCTTTCATTTTTCTAAACACTTGCAAGAATTCTTTGTCTTCAATTATTTCCATCTTAATGAATTACTAGCTGAAATAGTTTACATTGGTAGTAATTAGCACTTATCACAGTCTTTGTATGCGCATTAACTCTACTAACTATCTACTATTGGCATGATAGGAAGTTTCAATTTCATAATATTTTTATTCCAAAACCTAACTTTCGTTACTACATAGATTATTCCATGGTAAGAACATACAGATCACAGCACATTTGCAATACAAATTTCCTATTAGCATCACGTACCACTATTGTGTATGTTGCAGAAAAGACAAAAACGATTCCCGCCAGAATACGAGATGAGATTGTCTCCACGAAAACAGCAGAGAGAAGATTGCGTCTCAGTAGTTCATATGTCATCCTTGCAGAAGAGCAGTAGGCTTCACCAGTTATTGCAGCAAAGTTTACGGTGAACTTGTTGAGAAAATCAACTGCTGTCAGTAAGGCGTTTACACAGCACCGCAGAACAAGGTTCACTATCCCGGGAATATCCTCTTGTCTTGCACTGTCAACCGCAGAACGCACCATTCGAACAACAAAGATAAGCAACCCCGACAAACATATGGTGCCAGAAGAAGAACCAAAAGCATTTCTGCAAGCCAAATTCCACAGTTAGTGTCTTCCTAAATGAAAAGCAACCAACCATTCAACACAGTTGAACACTTCGTTATCAGCCAATCAAGCAGTACACCAGAGGGAACCACGATAATATATACTCAGAAGCTCAAAGACATGCAACAGGTAAGAGCAATCTTGAACTAAGAAATTTTAAAAGCAACCAGCAAGAGCTAAAGAATTACTGAAAATGGAATCAAAGAAAACATTTCAAACCAAGCACTAACACTAGGCTTCTGGAGTAAGAATTTATGAAGTGAAAATTTATATATAAACAAAAGATGTACTGTAAGCAAATCAAAGCACGCAATTTAATCCAAACTAACCAATCTAACAGTGGAGTCCAAATGAAACATGATATAAGCGAACAAATGTAAGGAAACAACAACAATGTTGACCTGAGAGAAGTTCGAATACTCCGCTTAGGAGTTTCATGATCCTTAGAGAAATACCAATTAGCTATGGTGCCACTGATGACATAAACTTGAGCTTCAACCATAGCTGCCGCAGACCACAACATGGTGAGAATAGCCAAAGCAAAATAAGCAGGAACCCATGAATCTTCCTTCCACACACAAGCATGTCCGCTCGCCAAATTCTTCACCGCAATCTTCCCATTAAACCTCGAAAACACCATGAAAACCACTATTGGCACGTAATACGCGAGAAGCCCGACGATCAAACAAGGCAGCACCCCGAACAAGTTCAAATTCCTGGAAAGTGCGTGGGAAGCGACCCCGATTATGCTGATAGTGAGCTCCACGCGATGCCAATTCACGACCAAGATCCACACGACGGCCCCAATCACCAAGAAGACGAAGACCATCACGACAACCCGATACGCGAGGGGGAAGGCGGTGCTGCAAGACGAGCGGAGGGTGCATGCGACGAACCAATAGACGTTGAGGAAAATAGGGATGGCGATGAAGAAGGGAATCGCAGCGTAGACAATTTGTTTGGTGTAATGCTTGAGTAAGAGAAGCAAAGCCCAGCACAGGGGGATGCTAAGAACGAAGGTGATGACGAGGGTCCATATGAGACCCTTGACCAAGTGCGAGGAAGAATCGAGGGAAAGCCACGAGGAAAGGGAGGAAGAAGTGGAAGAAGGGTTTAGGACGCAGGAGGAGGAGGAGGCGTCGTAGGAGAAAGATGAGAGAGAGGGGTAGTCGGTGTTCCGGTGGAAGACGGCGAAGATGCCGAAGGCGAAGGTGGAGATGACAAAGAGAAGGAAGAGGATGAGGAAAGGGAGGTCCTTGAAGGAACGAGGACCTGAATTGTAAGTGATGTGAAGGTATTGCTGGTTTGACTCCGATTCTTCTTCCACCGCCGAAGATGCCGAAGAAGGGTACGAGGGTTTCGACAGAAAGGGTTGCGATGCCGAGGATTCGAATGGAGAATCGCCTTTGTTGTTCGGATCCTCGCTGCCACCCATCATGATAATGCACCCCAACAATATACACAAACGGAACAGAGAACACAAAAACAGAGTGAGAGTCGCACGTTTGAATGGTGGCTGGCTAAGGTGATGTTCTGTATTTTTGGACTCAATTCTGAGCTGTTTGGTGGCACTCTCAGAACAGGACTCTTTCAACTCATAATTTCTATGTGTAGATTGTTAATTTCTTATGTTCAATCCAAATACACAAAATGAAATTTTGTGTGAAGTGAGAAATTCTCCTCACGAATAATATACTGCAGATTTTGTTTTGTAATTTGGGAAAGGCTGGTGGATCTGATGGGGAAAACAAAGTGGAATAAAGTTTGAATTTTGTAGTTTCACTTACGTATTAATCTAACTGGATTTTAATCGAATTTTTAGCATAAAATAGCATGTTTTATGTTTTATTTTCTTGCAAGTGGGTGAAATGAAATGTTCCTTACATCATTGTTATTATTATTAGATTATACAAGTGTTTGCTCTTGGTAGTGCTTGGTCACTACAATAGTATTAATTGATTGTAAGGATATTCTCATATACGTTTATTGAGATGCTGAATGTTAGTTATTGTGAAAGAACTCTGTTTTTTTTTTATTATTATTATTATTATGGGAAGGAGATGCATACCCCAATAGAAAATGAGACAGCAAATCAAAGGATGGATCACGTGCAGCACATGGTTGATCGTTGTGTTGTGTTTTGCATTACGACAAAAGTAGCTTCGATTCAGAGACACGGCGTACTCTGTTCAAACACCTGAGCTGCAATCCCATGTTTTCAGACTCCATGCCCTTATGCCTTTTTACTTCGACTCTGTTCAGCTTGATACGGTAAACAGCACTTGCAAAACTAAAATCCCATTTTTTCTCTCGCATGAATATTGAAAAAAGTGTTTTCATCTATGATTATAGTTATTATATTATCTATCTAAGAGAAATATTTATATCAGCAATACTCATTAAAAATATTTCATCAAAATAGACTTTACCACTGATGTCACCCCCTTCAAATAATACAAATCATTTGTTGCCTTGAATTGCATTGCTTTGAACTCTAAAATTACACCAAATTATATGTGATCTGATTCTACTGAACGGCTTAATCTTCCTCCATAAATTTCAACAGAGGTTTTAGACTTTAAGTTGTTATCTAGTAATGCTAGTTTTCTGTCTCACCTGTTGCATAAGCCAACAACAAAAGTCATCGAAATCAATGATGGCAGAGTAGTTAAACACTTCTGATTCTTAAACTTTGATTAAGAATACGCCCTATTACATTTTGTAATTTATGTCAATCTAAATTGATTTAATGTATAAGTTAGGTTATTATCTTAAATTTTATGTAATTACAAATGTTGAGTTTTGAAAAACTTAAAAAGCCTTTTAAGATTTAATGAATTTGTTTATTTATTTGTATAAATAAAAAATAGTCGTCATTTTAATTTTTTGTTATATTTAATAATTTTAAATACAATACGCTGAGCATGGCAATCTAACTTTTTAGTCAAATAAAATGTTAAGAGCAAACATTAGCCTCTGACAACAACAACTCGGGATCTAGTGAAAATTAACTGAAATAGATAACTTATAATTGTGTGTTACTTTCGTACATTTTCTTTTACAATGAAAGAGAAATAGAAGGATGGAATCAAATCAGCTATGTGATAGTTATAAAACTTGTGGCAAAACAAATATTTGAATAAAATAACTCCTTCCTTTGTTCTACTGCAGACGGCTCTGTTAAATACACAAGAATGGCCTTTGAAAACTATAATAAACAGACAAACATGAGACGGACTAAAAAAATACCAATTACAGTATGTTGCTGAGATCGTTACATATAAAAGAAACTGGATTTTAGTATATTTTTTAACAGTAACAATCTACCGATTCTCTTTCAAGTCAAGTTGGCATGTTTGAACTATACTTTGTAAAGCATGGTTTAGACCCTGAATGAAGCCAAATAATAGTTTTACAATACCATAATCGAAGCATGAGGAAGTTCAACTTTCATCATCCCAGTGGCTCTTGGGTATCTCCCCAGAGTCTGCTATCACTACCTTCTTCCTGGGTTTTCCACTGTAGGTTCCAGCTCCCCCTTCAATTGCATACACAATATCCATGCCTTGTACAACCTTGCCAAATACAACATGCTCTCCATCCAACCTGCAATATTTACATATAAGTTGACTTCATAACATAACTAAGAAGTATTAACCAGTGATAATGACCCAATGAGCATGTATTTTTCCTTTATAATAACGAATTCAAAGTTAGAGTCTATTTGTTGGAGTCACACATTAAGCAAAATCAACTAACTGATCCGCTACTTAGGCTTTATGATTCCCCCACCAAATGGACTAGTATTTTGGGTTAGGCTCTGCTGTTGTGCTTAAATCCTTATAATTAGTGTTTCCATAAGAGTTGAGCTATAGATAGTCATTTATGACCTGAATTAAGGTGCAAACCAAAATTGATATATGAATAAGTGTAGGTAGTGTGAAAGTCGTCGTGAACTGACCCCTTAAAAGGGTGACAATGCTATGAATCTCGCATTAAGTAGAATGAACAACTTGATGCAGAGTATTTAAGTCTTGAGACTCTCCTTCTTAATAGACTAGTCTTTTAGGTGTGTGTGCAAACCTGAAAAAGACTGCGCTTAACCTATGAGAACTTAATCCAACTGCATCTGTTCCCCAGTCTAGAAATTGTCCAAACCATGCACTATCAGGACAAAAATAACTTACCAACTGGCCTTCACCGTTGTAATGAAAAACTGTGAGCCATTGGAATCAGGTCCTGAATTTGCCATAGAGACAACGCCTGAAATCATGGGAGTATGATTTCATATAAACAGGTCAAACACATCTCAGAAATGACAGAAAAACATTAAGGCCTTGTTCACTTGAGTGGATTTGAGAGGATTTGAAAATAAATTTTTTTGTTGATTATTTGAGTGAATTTGGAGGTAAATGAGATTGGATTTGGAAGTAAATTTTTTTAATCTGTCACGTCAATTAAATCCTAGACTAATTCTCACAAACTTTACTTCCAAATTCATTCTCACTTACCTCCAAATTAACTCAAATAAACAACAAAAAAATTTATTTTCAAATCCTCTCAAATCCCCTCAATTACTCTCCCTCAAATTCACTCAAGTGAACAAGGCCTAAGTTCTAAAATATTTATAATAAAATGAAATGCTTGCAACAAGAAAATTTTTACACACCAGCATGAGAATGTTTAATCTTGAAATTCTCATCAGGAAAGGTGCCACCATAAATAGATTCAGACCCTTTACCATCACGATGAACAATGTCTCCGCCCTGAATCACAAAACCAGATACTATCCGATGAAATGGTGTTCCTTTGTAATGAAGCTTTAAGCCATTTTCACTCTTTCCTTTCTGCCCTACACAACATGGAACACTCCTAATCAGTGCAAGGACCGGTCAGGATTAAATTAATAAACACGAAGAAGAGACTACAGCTACCTGTACACAAAGCTCTAAAATTTTCTGCACAAAGAAAATTCGGTCATTAGAAATTGCACTGCTGTAAAGTATGAGTAAACATTACATTTTTACCAAAGAAGCTAACGCTTGGTTCAGGAAGAATGAAAATTCATATTCTTTAAACAATTAAGCTTCAGAAAGGAGAACTTGAAATAGAAGGACATTGACATACCCACAGTTTTCGGTACTACTTGGCCATACAATCCAATCACTATCCTACCTGCAGGAGCTATTTTGTGAGTCAAAATGATTCAAATGATTGCATTGGGTAAAATTTCTAGAAATATTGCTAGACAACCTAATCGCTGTTTGTCAATATCAATGTCCAAGAACACTCTGTGTGTAATTTCAGGGACCTGTTCTATTTTCTCCTCAACAACCTACATTAGAAAAGGGAAAAGTTTATCAGTTAAGATGGAAATCATAAGTTGGAAAAATTTACAGATGACCTTATGTTGAAATTACAAGGTTTTACAGAGAAAGAGAGATGAGAAAAAGAAAATAACCTTGAAATATGAGTATAAAAATTTGATACAATGATCTTGTTCAAAGACTAAAGTAGTAACATGTATTCATAAAAATTAATAGACTTCTAATCTACTGCTGTATTATAAATATAAATCATTGTTTTGAATGAAAATATTTATAGATACTATTCTTACATTAGAACGTATTTAGGATTTACTCTTAAATGAGATAGTTTTTGACATTATTCTCATTAATACATGAGTCATAGGTTAATAATGTTCATGGATATTTAGTGTTAATAAATAATGCTCTCAACACAGGTCCACACATGTTAAAGTGGATAAAAAAAGCCTCATATACTCAGAATGTGATTCGAGATACAGCTTTAACGAATGAACCTATACCAAATAGAGAGCTACCACCACAAATAAAGAACCAAGTTCCAGTTTTAAAGACACAAGCCTAAACTGAAATTGTTCAAATATAAATGAGAATAACAAACCAAAAGCAGGGACTGTTCATAATAAGCTGCGAACGAGGAAGTTTGAACCCAGACATGATGGTTTGATTTCAGCCGAAAACTCAAACTGAAATCAAAGGATAAAGTTAACTCAGGCAGTATTGCTTGCCCTGGAACTACAAAATTATTTCCTATTGCTCTTTTCAACAAAATACCGACCTCTTTCTATTTATGACACATTCTTCCACCGTATGCTATCCTAACCAAGTACCCTGTCTTCATCAATTTCTATCATATTTCTACTGATCACAGCCTTCTATGAGCAATAAATGCATCTCGTGATTTGGACCTACAGTATAGATTCCTTTCACTAATAATTAAAGGAATCATGTGAAATAACACCCTCCGTGTCTAGACCCTCAATTTGAATGTCCATTATCTTGTTCTTTCTAAAACCAAACAAGGCACGAGTAAACAAAATCGGTCTATAGAGATGGATGCCTTTTCAAACTAGCTAATATTTGTATGTGTCTCCCTTGATGCAATTTCGCAGCTAAACCCCATTTTGCTCATGAAGCAACTTAATTTTTCTTTCTGCGGATGGAAGTTGAAATACTTTACCTTGGTTCATACACCTGGTAGTACTGCATACACTAACCCATCCAAAAAGATCCTTAAGCAACTTTTACTCGAAAAATGAAGAAGGAACAGATCACAATACATATGCATGCAACACAGCTCCGGCACAATCCTCAGAATCGAGCCATGAGAGTTCATCACCAATCAAATTGTATAGAAGAAGCCAACAAGAACAAAAATAGTCAAAATGGAAAATTAAATGCATCCAAAAGCAATACCACTATATTACATTAAATAGTTTTGTTTAAGAGGCGCACTTCCTCAGTGTGACATTAGAGATAATGTAAGCAAAATTAAAAAAACAAAAACGAGCATTTTATTTTCATTCTATCAGAAAAAAGAAAGTAGAGTTGGAAGTACAGATTCAAACAACGCGCCAAACAATTGGAATCAAAAGTTCAGATCAGTGCAAAGAAACTAAAAGCAAAAAGTACCAAACACCTTCAAACTAACGCTAATAACAGCATTACGCCTGAAACCCTGCCTAATTGCCCAAAACAGATCCAAATAACAACAGCACGGGGATAAGGAGTTAAATTGCGCACCAGTTTTGAAGTAGTAGAACCATAAGTAGCGGTAGAACCAGTATATGCGAAAATGAGGAAAATTGAGAGAACAAGGAAGAGAAGGAGAAGTCGTGGGTGAACGAGAAAGGCGATCGCTTTAGGCATTGCTTCAATACCCTCTTTGCTCACTTATGCCCAATCAAAGCAAAATTGAAGCTTTCTTATCCTCCATGGCAGATGGCATACTGGGTTTGTCTCAGACCTCGAAGTGCAAACGAAACTTTGGAAAAACCGAAAGTAGCTGTAGCTGAAGGTGAAGATGATTCAAGCTCGCAACAGAGGGCGGTGCGCAACGCGAACCTACTACAAAAATATGTTTATTAATTATTTAATTTTTAAAATAATAATACTTTTACAGCTTTAAAAATTACCCTCACCCCGTATTTATAAATACAATAAGGTATATTATAATTTTAATTAAAAGTAAAATGAATATATTTGATGTGTTATTATCTTGTATTATTAAATGGAATTTTCGTTTAACATATATTAAAATATCACTATTCTATTTTAATTATGAGGAGCTCGTCGTTCCCAAATTTTTAAATAAGTGGTAATATTTTAATATTCATTTAACAAGTAATGTAGATGTAATGTAACCATTTAAAACGATCATTTTTTAATATAAATGGTCATATTATTTGGACTGTCATTTTTTTAAGGTAGGGTAAAATTATCACTTTAAAAAAAATTGCCAGTCACTCACAAACATAAAAAACGAAATACTAATTTAAGAGTAGAAGAGTTTTTTTAGAAAAATATTTTCTTTATTTTTATTCAATCATCAGGAAATAAATAACTTACATCTTGAAAAAAATTTAATCTATTACGAAAATATTTTCACCGATTTTAGTAAAAATAAAAAAAATTATTTAATAAAACTAACGTAGTTAATTTGTTATCATTAATTAAGCGTGACTCTTTTAATACACTAAAATTTTTTATTAAATACATATTCATTAACTTGAATCTAATTTAAAGAAACCAAAACCATGTCCACATTCAAAATCATAAATCACATCCGTTATCCCAAATAATAATGTTAGTTTGCACCACCACATATATTTATTTCTTTTCAAATTGCACGAAACCTAACTACAATCACCGTATACATCACCAAATCAAAAATTTCCAAATTCCAAATCATAACCCAAATCGTAAAGTGGATTGTTTATAATAAGTTGAAAGAAAAAAAAAATAATGGTTTCCTGTTTTTATTAAAAAAACGAAAGGTTGAAGAAGACGTAGAAAATTGAAATCTCTTCATAAATATTTATTTTTTCGAATGTTAAGTGATTTCTCAATTAGTATAACAAAAGTATTATATGGTTACAAAAAATACCTTATTGATTTAATATAATTTATAAATACGAATTTTATTTGTGACGGGACTATTACGAAGAAAATACATTATAAAGATTAAATATAATGAAAAAAAAAGAATATCATTATTTATGTTATTCTTACCGACGGAGTTTAAGAAGGGCCCTCCCTGTACCTTCAATCTGCCCATACTCATGAAAGAGCTATTATTCAAATGACAGATTCTGGGTATCTTTTCAAATAAATGTTTAATTATTTTATAATATTTTTTGTTCATTTATTTCGAATTATTTTTACTTTTAAATCTTTTTGTCTCTTTTTTTAAGTTATTTTGCCTTTTATGTATCATTAATGCAGATAGCATTTTTGTTTTTATCTTCATAATGCACTATTTATTACATCTATTCTTCTTTTCTCTTTCTCACTCAATAACGTGTTGTCATTCAGCTATCCATTAATTATTTGAAATATTTGTATAGAAGAGAAAAAGCAACAATACTAAAATATTTTCTCTAATTTATTGGGTTAAGAAAAAATAAATAAAGGAGATAGTATTTATATTGTTTTATTTTTTTCACTTCTTAATAATTATTTTTCTTTTGCTTTGGTTTTCTATTATAGGTCTCACAGAGCAAGTAAAGCAAGCATCTTTCTCTTATCATCTTTCATCTCTTTTTCCGTTTCTGCCGTAACAAACACTGAACCGAGTTTCGTCTTATCTTCAACGTTGTCGTTTGATTGGTGATAAGACAAGTCGCTGATGTATGATCTGTGCACCATACAAATTCTCATCTTATCTTTATTTTTCCGGTGGTCGTATTTTCACTCTATTTTTATTTTAGGATTAAATATATTTTTAGTCCGTAAATTATTTATCGTTTCTGGTTTTTGTCTCTCTTTTAAAATAAGGTACAATTTAATTTTCATTCTTTTCGAAAGTTTTAGTCATTGAAACTTTGGTTTTAGTCCTCGTTTTGTTGATTAAATGAGGACCAAATTTTTAAAGGTATTAGTTTTTGAGGACTAAAACGAACGTTTCGATACCTTATTTTAAAAGAGGGACAAAAACAAAAAACGACCAATAGTTTAGGAACTAAAAATATATTTAACCGTTTATTTTACTATGAAATTAATTATTTTTTTCCTCGAACAAATTACTATGAAAAGAATAAGACAGTCACAAAATTTGATTATATATGTCAAAAAGTTAAAGTTATTAACTTTAATATTAAATAACTTAAAATAACATATAAATATAAGTTTAAAATAAAAAATATATGCAATTGTATTTATTGTGTCATATCTAAACTGTTAACTATTAAATTGATTTTGATTTTCGATCCTTAGAAGATTTTTTATAAAATATAGTGTTAACCTCGATTCTACACTCTCTGTACATTTGATTGTTATTTTTGCTTCAATCAATTTGAGATATTATTGAATGGGCACTCATGTAAAATATATAATTGGAAAAAGAAAAATGAATTTAAATCTTCATTAATGGAAGGTTAACATAATAATAACTGTACGAAACAATGGACAAATTTAATTGATTAAAAAGAAATTGTAGCTTTGTGATGATTATGTGATGAATATGACATATAGGTACGACATCTTATCCTATCAGTTATCAAAAGCCATGAGAAAAATGCAGGCAATGATTGATGAAGAAGCAAAGTGAAGAATAATAAATTATAGGCCTGACCAAAGTAATAATTAAATTTTAGTATAACCTGGTGAACATCTAATTTGAATTTAATATCATAACATTGTAGAAATGATCTGTGGTGAAAATTTCACATTAGATAAAATATTATTTTTCTCTATAGATGTAAACTTTACTATATAAACTTTTTTTATAAAATTAAGTCAAGTTTAGAGTCTCCTTCGCAATAATTTCATTTATCAAATTAACTACAACTTATTAAAATTCAAGTTTGATTTATATTTGGTTATTATCAAATTAATTACAACTTATTAAAGTTAAATGATGATTTATATTCCATTACTTTCTGAAAAATATTTTGTTTTGTTTTAATTTAAATGAATGAATTAAATAAATTATATTTTTCGTAAAATAAAAATGTATATGTAATTTCAATAATTAATTTTATAATAGATAATGATTTTATGTAGTTTATTAATTTAACAAAAAAATTATCATGTGAAAAATAATATTAAAGACATAAAAAAATTTCGTACTATATTTTAGCAAAACTTACTAAAATGATAGTAATTGAATTGGATTACTACACGAGTTTTAAAGATTAAATTTAAACATTTCAACTTTTTTACTTTATGAACTCTACATTCAAAAATTTATTTACGTGCTTTAATTCGTTTACTTTTAAAAGAGCCAATCTTATTAATACCAAACATATTACTAGGGTTTACACTATTAACATTTTTTAAAATTGAATTAGATGTTTTTAAAGTAGTTTTAATATCACGTTAATTACAAAAATTATATTTATTTTTTTAAATTACGTCATTCGTTTTTATTTTTATGAAAAATTCTTTAAGTTACGTGTCTTATTTTGAAAAAATTGATATAGTATATTGTTTCTTTAGTATTGTATTAATAGTATTAAAAAAACATCGTGTTAGCAATGTTTTTTTTAATTTTTCAAAAGTTATATTAAAAAATTACATTATTAATACAGTACTTTAATACATCAATTTTTAATACATCTTGAATATTATTAATACAGTACTTTAATATATCAATTTTTAAAATAAAATTAAAATTAAAACACATAAAAAAGTATAAAGGAATATATAAAATTAAAACACATAAAATTTGAGATTTTCCTTACAATATATAAAGGAATAACAATTTAACTTTTTTTGAAAAACCAAATTATGAAACAGTGGAACTTGTGTTGATTGTTTTCAGCAGGACAAAATCTGACACAACACATGCGCTGTCTTCACAACCATACCGTACCAAGACAGCTGTTTTCTTTTTCTATTTCTTCTACTAAAATTATATAACACATTTTAAAAAAGAGGTGACACGTGGCGACAGTTGCCCCGTGGTAATACCGTGTTTCTTTTCATATTAAAAAGTATTTTAAAAGAATAAAATGTACAATATAGTTAAAAGAATAACAAATATCTTAAAAAATAGTATAAAAATAAATAACTCCTCTTTCAAAAGTCAAGCAAACAAACCAGATTCAATTAGGAAACGTAAGAAGAATAAATACGTGTGACTTGGATCCTTAAATTTAGGACAGGGATTCGATTTTTACGTTAAAATATTATCATTTTATTTTGAATGAACATGTCAGAAAACTTATTGAATCTCATTAAAAGTTTTAGATTCGTTTGTATTAAAGAGAAAAAAAAAATTAAATACATAGTATATTTTAATTTAAAAGAATAATATAATTTAAGAAAAAAGATCACCAATATTCTAATAATTAAAAAAGAAACTTCCGTTGCCAGGACTTGAACCCGGGTCTCTCGGGTGAGAGCCGAGTATCCTAACCAACTAGACTACAACGGATTTCATGCTTCCTTGTGTTCATAATTGTTAATATACTTATAACATTATTAAAAGTCCACAAACACAACATCAACGAAATGAGAAAAATTAAGAATATCTCATCTAGAAAATTTAGACCAAGAAATATGTGGGAAAGGTTTACGTTAAGCAAACATCAGCTAACGTTTCCACGAAAGATGTCTTTCTCACATATCATTACAGGTCATGACTGATTTTTTTTAAGGTTGTGATGAAGATCCGTAACACAGATGATAAAATCTTTGGGGAGGAAACGCTACAAAGAAATTCTTGCTTGCACTTCTGTCAACAAAGGAAGAAAGAAAAAGAAACCGTTGCTTGTACTCTGAAAAACTTGTTTTTCCTAATTGAAGGATTATTTCATTGCTAATTAAACTAAATTTTCTAAACTATACGTGTTTTAATGGTTTAACCTAGAATTGACTTTTTGTAAAATTTTCCAAATTAATAAATATAAATTTTATTGTCTAAAATTCAATTGGTTAAAAAAAACTTTTTAATCAAATGAAAGCCCCATGGGGTCCACTGGTGAAATTGTCGTTTAATGAATATGTCGACTTTGTAAATAAATGCGAAGCTGCACGTCGTTTTGAAACTTTGAAAATGAAAACCCTAATTTCCATAAAAAAGAAAAAGGAAAAACTCACTCACTTTCCCCTCTTTTTCTCCACCAATTTCCGCATCACTTCTTTCCATATACTAGTTGCAGTTAATTGTTGATGAGGATGAAAATTAATATTTGCTTTTATCTAGGATTTGTTAAGATTAATCATTAATTTCTGGAGTATTAATTAATGAAACAGAATCTAGCTTAAAATTTATACGGTTCAATACAAGTACTTGTACAGTACTTAAACAGTACATACACTTATACGGTAGATTAGACGATCAATTACGTTGGACCCACACTCTGATCAAGGTCGTACCTTTCACATGTCATTCAGAACAGAAAGTTAATGTCAAATGTCGAATATAGCCGTTACGACGAACCTTGTAAAACTAGTTGTATAAAGGATAATCCATAAAAATAATCGATCTACTTGTGATCAATCAAGATGATCAACCTAATGGCGATTGATCTAAGAACAATTAACAATAAATAATCAACCTAAAAATAAAAATAAGATGCCAGTTGGTGTGACTTAACTCCACTACACACTTTTAATTTAAATATTAAATTACCATAAAGTGTATTCCTTTTTTATTTATATATTCATGGTAGAAATAAACAACGATCATTCAACATTTACCTACCATTTTTTGGAGAACGAGATTGCTTCTGGATGCCATTACTTATTAAAATACTGATTGTAACTTATGGGGAAATCTCATCACATACTTTCACGACAATTTTAGAGAAAATGTGATAATCACATTATTAACTATTTATCAAATTGTCATTGCCTGACTCGCATGTTAATTATACAAGAATTCCCACATATAGAAAAACTTATCAAGACATAAGGTTTTAACGTATAATAATATATATATACTGTTTTTCAATTTTCAATTTTAAGTTGATTTACTCAAGTAATCCATATTCTTAAAAGTGTTTCTATTGCGGAGAAAACGTGGCTGAAAAGATATAGACAAATTTATTACGAATGAACTTAACAGTGATCACTAATACGTATTATAATGTTTTTTTATCGACGGTTGCTAACAACGAAATTCAGTTATTCTACATTAGATTTTGATACTTGGTAGATGTACCGAGGTTTTAAATTCTTCTATTACTATATTTAAATTGTGTTTTCCATGAAAGGTTATGACGTAAACAGTGATGAAAAAGCAAACAACTTTAATAATAATAAAAAAAACAGCGTTATAGTCTATTCGTGTTCAACATCAGCCGTATACGACGTTGAAATCAAAAGAAAGTCATGTATTTAAAATTAACCAAACAACGCCTGTTTATCTTTTATGGAGGATGAGTGGAGCTTTAGCATTAAGGAAGGAAAATGACGTTTTATTTTTAAAAAAAGTCTATTTTTATTTTTTTGTTTTAAAAATATTAAATTTACGTTTGTACAGAAAGTATTATTTAAAAAACAGAGTTTACGACAAAATAAGAAAAAAGTTAGGTGAGGCTCTGTTGAGGATCAGTTAATCCATGTAATGTTGTTAAATTCTGAGTTTGAAAATATCAACAACTACAAAATGTGTGATCAAGTGGACGAGTTGGTCTCACAGTCTATCTCCACAAAAAACAATGAATGTTAAAGATCTAAATCTGACAAGGATCATGGAAGAGTACATTTTCCCTTTTTCTAATTCACACGTTTATATCCTATATAATATTAATTAAAATATTAATTAAATAGTGAAAAGAAAAACTAAGAAATCCTCTACAGTTCCCGTCCAATTGAAGCTACAGTGGTTGCACCCTCTTCATCGTCAAGGTGGACTGAGAAAACCTGCCCAGACTGGGAACACTGCTATAAATACATCACACGCGTCTTCGGTTTCTCCATATCCAAAAACTCAACACCGTTAATTCTGGTTAATTAGATGGGCACCGCAACCGCCTTTTCGCCTCCCACCGTTTCAACCACCAGTAAATGGCTGGGCTTCGTGGCCGCCGTCTGGATTCAGTGCATCTCCGGCAACAACTACACCTTCTCCAATTACTCCGATGCGCTCAAATCCCTCATGCATCTCACGCAGGTGCAACTCAACAACCTCTCCGTTGCTAAAGACATCGGAAAAGCCTTTGGGCTTCTGGCGGGACTCGCCTCCGACCGCTTCCCGACTTGGGCCATTCTCCTGATAGGCTCCGTTGAAGGCCTGATTGGATACGGAGTTCAATGGCTCGTTGTGAGCCAGAAAATCCAGCCCCTTCCCTATTGGCAGGTATGAAAATTTAAGAGGTTTTCGAGATTTGAATTTGGTACAATTAAAAGTCCCCGTTATTGATTTACTGATAAGTTCGTCGTGTTTGGTAAAACGATGCAGATGTGCGTGTTTCTGTGCATGGGAGGGAACAGCACGACGTGGATGAACACTGCCGTTTTGGTAACGTGCATACGCAACTTCCGTACAAACAGAGGACCCGTTTCGGGGATTTTGAAAGGCTTTGTAGGGTTGAGCACTGCGATATTCACCACGCTCTGTTCTGCGCTTTTCGCCGACGACCCTGCCTACTTCCTCGTCATGCTCTCTCTCGTTCCCCTCGTTGTTTGTCTCACCGGTATCTTTTTCCTCCGAGAGCTTCCTCCCGCCGTCGACGCCGCCGGAAACGCCGAGGAGGTCAAGTATTTCGGCGTCTTCAACGTCGTTGCCGTCCTCGTCGCGCTCTTCCTCTTGGTCTACGGCTTCGTCCCCAGCCCCGGCGTCCTGGTGTCGCGAGTTTTCGTCGCCGTTCTGCTGGTTATGCTGGCTTCGCCGTTGGGGATTCCGGTGTACACGTACTTCAAGGGACGGCTCGGAGAGGGGAATGACGTGGAGGGGCAGAGAGCGAATGAACCGTTGCTTGGTGGTGGGGAAAAGGAAAACGAAAGCGTGGCGGCGGTTGAAGAGGAGGCTTTGGTGGAGAAGAGAGCGCCGATGGTGGGTGAAGAGCACACGATAATGGAGGTGCTGAAGAGCGTGGATTTTTGGATCTTGTTCGTGTCGTTTCTCTGCGGGGTTGGAACTGGTTTGGCTGTGATGAACAATATGGGTCAAATCGGGTTGGCTCTCGGGTACCCTGATGTCTCACTTTTTGTCTCTTTGACCAGTATTTTCGGATTCTTTGGGCGGATCATCTCGGGTACCGTTTCCGAGTTCACAATCAAGTAAGTCTTATCATTCCACTTCAACCAAACCAATTTTCATACATTTTTAAAATGTTTTCATACTATGACCGAAACAAAAGAATTGGTTTTATCTTCAATTGTGAAAAAATCAAATTTAATATGCAAAATGACGGCAGAAAAAGCATATAGCACTTGGAATAAAAATGAATCAAATAATGTAAAACGAATAGCAAGTGGGATATACTAGTCGCAATCATATTGCATATGAAAATAATCTTGTGGATCATTTGTCTAATCATACATTTTACTTTTACTTGTTGGATTCTCAAAATATTATTGGTAATATCGGTGATGTTCTTTTTTATGTTTAATAAAAAATAAAACACAAATATCGAAATAAAATATAAGAATAACATTTTTTTCTTATCTGAGTTATCTATTTGGATTCTAAATATTTCCTTAAATGCTTTTTAAAACTTTTTTACATTGAATTATTATATCTTTTGATAAGCGTAACAATATTTTGTCGATGAAAAAATAAAAAATGTTGAGATGTATAATATAGGCCTAACTTATTCAACAACGAGACAATATTCAGACGATGATACAAGATTTATTTATATGCATACAGTTGCGTTAAAATCAAATTGTTTATTGCTCGAATTAAAGTTGTTTTTGGATAGATCTCAGTCTTAATGAGCTTATTTTGTGCCTAAAGGCAGAAGAAAGTTAGGTAGTAGTTTGATTGATTTGATTTGGAGCATGGTTAGTCTATTATAGTAAGTTTGGTAGTAATTTATGAGAGACTCGATTTTGTGCATGTTTTGTCTATTATGGTAAGAATCAATTTGTCACGGTTTGCAAATTTGTCTTTTGAGTTTTATTATCTATTATAGGCCGTATATTTGCAACCAGAAAAGCACTGTTAAATGTTGGTCATAAGAAAGTGAGTGGAATTGGTATACAGATATTAAATTGAGGTTTGCATTCACATATTATAAATTAGATTAATCTCATTCTTAATTTGGAAATTGATCTGCAGGAGAGCAGCAACACCAAGACCTCTCTGGAATGCAGCATCTCAGCTTCTAATGGCTGTTGGTTACATACTGATGGCCATGGCTATGCCAGGTTCTCTATACATAGGGTCTATTTTGGTTGGCATATGTTATGGAGTTAGGCTTGCAATCACAGTTCCAACAGCCTCGGAGTTATTTGGACTGAAATACTATGGTCTGATCTACAACATTCTGATTCTCAACCTTCCTCTGGGCTCTTTCCTTTTCTCTGGTTTGCTTGCTGGCATACTGTATGATATGGAAGCAACGACAACCGAGGGAGGAGGCAACACCTGTGTCGGAGGTCACTGTTACAGGCTAGTCTTTATTGTCATGACCGGAGCATGTATCGTTGGCTTCTTCTTAGACATTCTCTTGTCATTCAGAACCAAAACTGTTTACACAAAGATTTCCATGAGCAAGAAACCCAAGAAATCCTTATCAGCATCAAGCAGCCGTTGATTCGTTATGAATCACATTCCTGGGATTGATGAACTCTATGCTCAAATGATATCTCAATATGCTCAATTACTTAACTCATTTTTTAGAAAAAGGAGGCTGATTGTTTTTTATTCCATTTTTGCCTCCGTGGTGTGCTGTTATTTCCTTTACAATGTGTTTTTAGAACTGTTAAATAGAGAGAGGTGTCTTTAGTATCGATGTGATGGGTTTTTTGGTAGATCAAAACACTACATATGTTGTTTGTTCTATGAATAGGAATGGCGGTATCAGTTCTTTTTATCATATTCATTAAACCAGTGTTGTTTGGTTACTAAAAGTATGAAAGTCACTGTATTAAGGTTGCAACTTTTGGCATTGTATCATGTGTTATATCTTTGAATCTATTTACAGCTAGAAGATATTTCATTCCAAAAACCTGCCATCGTCCTTTTCCTTTGTCTTCTTTTGTTGCAAAAACAAATAAAACCAAACAAAACCTGCCACAGATCTCAGACATTAATTGCAAATCTACAGATGCTTTCAACATATCTAGGAACAGTAAGATCAGTGAAGTTCTGGTTTTAAAATTTTACATGAAAATAAGATCAGTGATGTCTGGGTGATTTTAGTTAATAGTACCACTATATTTAGTTTCTTAAAAATTAATTTAATAGTTCAATGATCAAATATATGATGCAAATTTTTTAATTACATACCTAATATACAACTTTCAGATTTGTTATAATAATTTTAATGTCAGTTAAAAAATATATAGTTATTTCACAGGCATAATAAAGAACATCGTATGACTCTCATTCATACATTTATTTAGAAAATTAAATAACAACAACAACAAAAGATAGCTCAAACGCAATATTAAGTCTTCAACTTAAAACTAAGACTCGTGCACATTCATACCTTATTAGATTTTCAGTAGTGAAATTAATACAAAATTTAATGAAAATAATCTAAGGTGTATCGTTAATTATATGAAAAGAAGGATGAGTCAGAATTTATGTGAAAAGGAAGAATGGTTTGACATAATTCTTAAAAAAGTAAAAGGAAAATAAACTTTACCTTAGAAGGTGGGTAATTACTTCCTGCACCTCATTAAATTTTCACTCCCACCCCATTAAAATACTATCAAAAAATGCTTTTCGTAAAAGAAGGGATCCATTGGCTTCAGAAAAAAAAATTCAAACTTGTTCATTGTATTCTAAAAAATAAATTTCCAAAATGACAGAGTTCATGAAAAAAAAAAACTGTCTAAAAGGTTTAGATTTGAAATGGTAAAAACCCATTTCCATTTCGGGACCCGAGTCTCTCATGCGAGAGTCTGAGTGTCCTTACTTACCAACTAGACTACACCGGAATTCCTATTATTACCAATAAAATAATTCTCCATAAAGTAAAAAACAAGAAAGAGAGATAAATAAATTAATTTCTCGTTTCAAAATAATGATACTTTTAGTTATATATAAAACATCTAAGATGACGGAAGTTTCTACCCTATTACTTTTTCTTCTAATATTTCCTTAAAACAATTACTATTTTGGAATATAAGATTGAAGTTAACCGGTTCAATCTCCAATAGATCCTCTAAAGATTCAAAAATTGTCTTTAACTTTAAGTATTTTAGTAACTATTCATCTAAAAAATTGAAATAGTACATACAAAAGAGATTTTGATATCAAAGTGAGTTTAACATTTGATATTTTAGATGACAATAGTATAATAAATGTATCCTACTTATCTTTTTATTTTAAACTTGTATTTATAGATTTTAGAGTAAACTTTTGATTAGCAAACCTAAGTATGATTCAATTATTATTAATTCTACTTTAATTTTAGGTTATTACAAAGTAAAATTAATTACTTTAACCATTAATAGATTAGTCTAACTTATTGATCGTTCGACATTAATGGTAGTTTGTTTATACATTTGACTGTTTGTCCTATGACTGACCAAAATATCATACATTAAAATTACTTTTTACTTATAGATTTTAGAGTAAACTTTTGATTAGCAAACCTAATTACGATTCAATTGTTATTAATTCCACTTTATTTTTAAGTTGTTTCATAGTAAAATTAATTACTTTAACCATTAATCGATTAGTCTAGCTTCTTGACCATCTGATCTTAATGGTAATTTGTTTATATATTTGACTGTTTGTCCTATGACTGACCAAACCATCATGCATTAAAATTACTTTCTATTTATATATTTTGGAGTAAACTTTTGTTTAACAAACCTAATTACTATTCAATTGTTATTAATTCCACTTTACTTTTCAATTGTTTCACATTAAAATTAATTACTTTAACCATTAATTGATTAGTCTAACTTCTTGACCGTCCAATCTTAAAGGTAGTTTGTTTATACATTTGAGTGTTTGTCCTATGATTGACCAAACGATCATACATTAAAATTACTTTTTATTTTGTATCTAAAATAACCCATCGATGGTCAGAAAGATATTATTTTAACACAAATATTTAAAAATAGTATATTTATTATTTTTTTATTATGCATACAATAATCTTAAACTATCGAATAATATTAGTATCGTAATAAAAAAATTAAGTGAGTTAAATATATTTTTAATTTCTAAATTTTTAAGTGAAGATAAAATTTGTTCTTTTTCTAAAATTTTAATACATTTTACTAATTATTTAATCTAATTACGTATCAAACACGTTTCATACAAACAATTGAGTTGTTTATATCATTCAATATATTTTTAATTCCATGTTTATTGAAAAACGTGTTTGAAAAGTAAAAGAATTAACATAATTATATTAAAAAATTATATATATTTATTTTGAAAACTTAGAAACAAAAATAGGTAAATATTTTTAACATAAACTAATTTAGTTTTGTGTCAAGAAAACTAATACTTTAAATTTGAATACTGCTAGGTTTTTATCTGTTGTTTCTCTGCTTTGATTGAAAATACACTCATGACAACTAATGATAATGTTTCAAAATATATTATTATTTTCTTAGAATATCAATATTAAAGTATTTGTAATGCCCAATAAAAAAACAACACAAAAAGTGCAGCACAGAATCTGACTCCTAAAAACATACTTGACCCAAAAATATACTTGTCCATTTACCTCCTCATCACTGTTCTTCAAAGAAATCCTGATAATGTGGCTTCGCCATTATTTTGGAGGGAAAATGAACAAGATGAGAGCTCAAACGCGGGCTTCATTTTCGTCCCTGAAAATATCTGACAAAATATTTTTAGTCAAGGAAAACATCATAATATTAATTGAAAATTATATATATTTATTTCACAAGCATAATAAAGAACATTCCATCGTCCTCATACATTTATTTAGAAAAAGAAATAAAAACAACAACAAAGATCGCTCAAATGCAATATTAAAATTTAAAATACAGACTAATACTCAATCATACAATATTAAGTTTTAAGTGAATTTATTAAAAAGAAGTTAAGATGTATGGTTAATCAATAGATTTTCCTCCCATCATTGCAGTACAGATAATTTTTGTCCTTTATTGTCAGATATTTCCATTTTAAATAATAGTAAAAAACTAAAGAAAAAGGAAAATTCCGTTGCCGGGATTTGAACCCGGGTCTTTCGGGTGAGAGCCGAATATCCTGACCAACTAGACTACAACGGATTTTACATTTAAATATGAAATTAATTTATCTAAAATATAGTCAAATACTGGTGTCATTTTTAGATGTTCATTTGTTTTTAACTTAATTGAACTACTTAGCGTATGATGAAGTTAAAACAAATTTATTTCTTACCTGTAAAAATATAAATTCAAAATTTCAAACATCAAACGAAAAACATACTAAAATTAAGTTTTTTTAGGACTGATTATTCGTGTTGGGTTCCAAAACGATGGTCGTAAATGGGAAACAACGCATCACACACCATAATCACCATTAGCTCGATTTAACAAAAAGGTAAAATACAAACACCAAGTTCCCAACTCACATGATGAAATGGTAATCAAATGCCACAAGAACTTAAATTATTCTTGCAGTCACTATATGTTCGAAACTGTCTTTGTGGTGGGTCCCCAAAACGGCAGCATTTGGACGATATGATCATCTTTTTGAAAAATGCACAGAAAAAGTTCATTAGATTAGTTGCAACGCCAAATCAAAGGCATGCCACTCAATGCACTTTCCATAAGATATGATCTTGTTCAACATTATTCTCGTTCTTGATGACAGATAGATAAAAAAATTAAACGACACTTGCAGTGTACCATTTTAATAATTGAACCCAGTCTTGTGCTATATTCCATAATTAACCTTTTATTTACTTTGATAAAACCAGAAAAACGCATTTCAGACAGAACTCCCTCGTACCAGACAAACAAAAAATTAAAAGCCAAACAAATTACTTGTAATAGCCGCAAAGTGAACCTTGTTAAGCAGAAAGATCTGTTTTTTCTCTTATGTCGTCCGTCGGTGAGAAACCCAATTGAAAGGCTTTCGCTCACAGCATGAAGATAGAACCTCAGAAAAGCTTGGATGAGGAAGATAAATGCTCCAGAGATTAATTAACAATATAAAAACCAGAACTTTAACGAATGAAACACGGAATATTTTTTTTGCCGAATCTTTTGGCGGGTGGTTTACAATCAAGGAGAATCTGCCAGCTTTACTGGCAAAGCCAAAATTCTTGAACCCACCACGAAAAACCCCAAATTCTAAGACCCATTTACATTTAACAAACAAACAAAAGCCACGATGCTGGTTCGGCTAAAGCAAGGTGAAAATAAGCAAAAAGCTAGCTGAGGACACAAACGCCATGGAAACTGATCTTCTGGGGGAGGACTCTCCCATCGCCAACCCAGCTAAATATGACCCATCTGCCAGCATTGTTTCTCCTCCGGATCCTGTACTTGACCCGGAATCCGTAACGGAGTTATACACAACTCCATTGTCCGCACCCGTGTACACCACCGCTCCTCCTTCGGATCCCATTCCTGTTCCTGTTTCTGTTCCTGTCACTGTCCCTTGTGATGATGATGATGATGTTGAGGGCATGGGGTTGGTGGTGGTATCTCGTGACGATTTCTGACTGCAAAATCAAATCATGCACACATTGAGACCATCATCAATTTCTCAAACAACCTCAAATTCTTGTTCAATGCTAACATTCTATAGTCAATGCAACATCAACAAGGGATTGTTGCATATATGAATTTTATTGGATAGTATTAGGTAATGGAAGTAGCACCAAGCACCAACCATCATCAATGCTCACTTAACCATCATCTACTATTTATTTATTAGTAACATGAACATTAAAAAGTTCTGCTTTGGCCATACCAAAACCCACCTAACGCACTGATGCTGGAAATAGTGAAATCTTCCTACTATAACAAGAAAGTGTTAAATAAAAAAACTTGAGAATGTGAAACAAATTTAACCTTAACCTACAAAAGAATATAAGAATATCATAGAATAATTTAGAATTATACTGCAAAAATTCTCAGATCAGAATAAAATAAACATAGTACGAATATATTGCATGATGTTTGTGACAGTAAACTAAAACAATAGTAAATCAGCAGAGACAGATTTGTTTGATATCGATAAAAAAAAGACTAAATACGATGTTTATGTGACATTAAACTATACAAATGTCTTGCATCAGACAATATATACAAATACACGACCTTCACACTCGACTAAAGTAGGGTTAACTATTTTTTTTTTCAGGAAAATACTATGATATTTACCCTTCTCGAGATAACAAGTTAATAGGAATACCAACTAAATAATGTGCATAAAAGTAGTCTGCAAAAAATAGTAGCAGGTTGCAGTTTCAAAGATGCGATTTTAAGGGCAGAGAAACAAGGCAAATGAAACAATTAGAATCAGTAAAATACAGCACTGCATAAGGAAAAAAGTTAGGTGGTAAATTGAGATGGAGTGAGTAAGCATGAAACAGAAACAGAAACAGAGGTGAGCAATGAATGAACGGAAGGGCAAAGCAGAGGAAAAGAGAGAGAACGGGGAAGAATGTTAACCTTGGAGAGGATGGACAGAAGGTAACGGTGTAATCAGCGCCGGTACACGTAAAAGTACTGGTAGCGTCGTCGTAAGCGTAGCTATACGATTTTGGGCAAGCTGCCTTGAACATCTCCGAGTAAATGGAGGGCCTACAGGTTGCGGGTGAGCCATACGCGCCGTTGCAGCAGTACTCGGGGCTACCAAAAGCCTCACACGCGCTCTTGCACGCGCTTCCCTCGGAGGCTCTCAGCTCCGCCGGGCATTGCTGGTTCAGATCCGACGTGCACCCCGTAGTGGCGCATAGACCCGACCCGCCAGTACCCTCCACGATCATGGGAAGGTTGTAGCCGTCGACGAGGCTGACGTCGTAGAAGTCTTGGCCTCCGGTGCCCAGCGTGAACTCGGCGAGAGTGGCCGGCGGGGCGGCTCCCGCGCCGTTGCATTCGACTTGGCCGGAGCCACAGTCGCCAGTGAGGCAGGAACCGGATCCGGATCCGTCAAAGGTGCAACCGGTTCGGGCCCAGAAGCGACCGGACCAGCCGGTGGAAGCTTGGAAGGTGCGAGAAGTGTCCTTGGGAAGCTCGAAGCCGGTGCTCTGGAGTGGTGGGCTACCAGCATTTGCGAGAATGCCTGGCCACACCGTGTAATCGCATCGGTTAACGAATGTGAAGGTGGCAGCCATAACCCCTGAAGAACGTGAAGAAGAAGAAGAAGCGACAGTTAGTAAAAAAAAAAAGTGTTGTTTTTGTAGTTTAACAATGAAAAACATGATGTGAGGATATAAAGATGGCGTTTTTACCTGGGGTAGTGAAGAACAGGAGAACAATGAAAGTGAGACATGAGAGTTGTGTGAGATCCATAAGTTGGTGTCTGGTTTTTTCTTGGTTGGGTATGGTTTGTGAGTGTTTGTTATGTTATGATCACCAACAGTTCCTCCTCTGAGTGTTGGTGAATGAGTAGCAGAAGAGCAGGGTCTGGGAAGAAGAGGGGTAGTGTTTGTTTGTATGGAGGAGGCAGAAAACGACAAGTGACTTAGGGGTAAAAGTGGAAGAGTGAGTTTTACCAAGGACAGTGTGTGTCAAAAACACAGTCTTTTAGGGGGTGCATAATAAATAAATAAAATATAGCATGTTGGTCACAATAATTTCATCTCTAATTAATCGGGCTGATTTAACAACGGGACCTCTCTTTTGCTGCCAATTGCACATCCAAGTAAATAATTTCATTTGTATATTTTTTTAAATCTCAAATAATTGTTTTTATTTTTATATGTCTCATTTTAATCCTTATTTTGACAAATGTAAAACAATCAGATTATTTTAGTTATTATTGCACTGACATATAATTAAAAGATGGTATTTGTGTTTATGTTTTTTATTTAGATATTTTTTAATTAATTTAATTTTAAAGAATATATATTTGTTATTTGTAAAATTGTGTCACGTGCTAATCATTTATAACAATATCATATGTCATTTTTATATTAGGTATAGTTGCTTTAATTTTAATTTAGTTCTTTTATTTTTATTTTATCTCAATTCTTTTAATTTTTTAAAAATGAAATTATTTTGTTTTTTCTAAATTAAAATGAAATTTATTTTTTATATAAATATTATATTAATATATTTTATTAAATATTTTTAAAAATATTAAATTTATTTATATTTATATCTATATTTATACTTTATTTGAAAATATTTTTAAATTTTAAATTTTAATTTTTTTTCTAATTTGTTATAAAATTGTTTAAAATTATTTTAAATTTTAAAATTTATCATTTTTAAATTAACTCAGATTTGTGTAAAATTGTTTAAATTTTAAATATTTAATAAATATATAGTGATTTAAAAGAATTGAAAAAGTTGATAATAATTTATTTTATGAAATGCAATTGATAAACAAGTTTAACATGTTTAAATTGATTATTATTTTTTATTAACAATTTTAAATAGAGTTCATTATAAAATATAAATATTTCTTTAAAAAATATTTAATAAAAATATCAGTTTTAATAAAAATATATGTATAATATTTATATAAAAATTAAATTCATCTTTTAAAGAAAAAATTGTTTAATTTAAAAAAAATAAAACTGAATTGAGAGAAAATAAAGATAGATATAATAACACTTTACGTAATACGTAACTCTGTCAACGCAATATTAGTTTAATATGTGGTATTTTCTTTCCTAATTTAAAAAAGTTAAATAAAAATCAATTTAAAGAAACACTTATACATAACATGTTTTAATCATGTTAGTACAATACTAATAAAATTAATTTGATAGCACCAAAATTTTTAAAATAGAAACCAAATTAAAACGAATGAAAATAAAATCATCTATTTAAGATTCTTTTAGAAAAGTGGAGGCAAATAAAAATATTTAACCTTTAATTAATAACATTTACATTCTCTAAATTCTATTCAAGCATAATACACACATTGTTAACTGTTTTCATTCGTGTACAATAATTCTCTTTTAAATTTCAATCCATTTTTATTTAAATGGATACAATTTATTATATTTTTTAAGTCAAAATTTGATTCAAATTAAAATAAATTTTTATTCTTAACTAAGTGTGTAATTCAAGTTATAAATGTTTCACAAAGATGTCTTGTTCAATATAAACAACAAATATCCTGATCCTGCTATAGGTTGATTGAAATATGTCTTACTTAAAACTAATTTAACAATGTTTTAAATTGTTCTTTTTATATTGATATATATCCACAATCACATGTATTTACTTATCTGTTGATATGCCTTAGGTGAGACGTTCTTTATTATATATGTTCCTTTACCTTTTAAAATAAAAATTAGAAAGCTTTTTTCACAACGATGTGTCCAATCATTGTGAAATTCTTCATTAATCAACTTGCATATAAGGGTTACAATAAATGAATGTTCTTCATGCAAGATTTAACACAATATCAAAATGTTGATACTTGTTAGGAACGGAAGGAAAACCAAGGGTTTGCATCGAGCGTCACAGCCGAACGGTATGAGTGTCGTATGCGACTGAAGAACGAGAGTCTGAAGAACGAATGTTCCTAGCCGAACACTACGAACACACAGTACTGCAACGTAAATGATCGAACGACCTAGTAAAAACATGAACAGCACCGATCGGTTTAAGACTTTTACACCGAACGATCAAGGAGATGAACAGAGAAAGAAAGAGTAAAACTCAAACGCACAAAAAATATATTATTCACACTGATCTCAAAAAGATACACTTTATAATAACAGAGATTCAGTATTTATAAAATGAAAAACAACTGGACAATTAATCAACAACTGTCCTGACCAACTAACAAACTCGACTTAATTCCAACAAATATTTCATATAATTTTCATCTCATAGTGAGTAAAAGTCAGAACAATGTAAAGGTAACAACCAATCCTTGATATATGCTCGGATCTACCATACGTTGAACAAATATTTAATGATAGTATAAGCTTAATTTCAAAGATTAAATTCCTCTAATCTAGGAAAAAAGCACAAAGTATCTTTTCTGAGGTTCACTTTTCATTTTTTTTTTCGTTTCTTTTAACCGTCTCCTCTTATTTTGATACTCGTGCTTGATTTCATTGTTTCATAATTTAGTTTATGAAAGTATTGAAACTTTAACTTTTTCAGAAATACGTAAAAACTGTGTAGGAAACTAATTTTCAACCATTATTATTGCGACATCAGAATTCAAACGGTATGCTCCTGTTTCAAATCGTTTAAAATTTGCGGAATTCACACATAATTTTTTTTTATATTTGTTTGATATTATTTTTTTTATTTTTTTAAACATACATTTTTACAACTATTTTACAATAAATATAAAAGTGTGTTATTTTTTTGCCGAATATATCACTTTGGTCAAATCCCATTCATCCTACCACCTTCTTCTACATGCACATGTTCCCATGACAACTAATTGCGTTTTCCATGTTTTACCATTCTGTTTTAAGGATAAATTAAGGTAAGATGAGAACTAATGAAGTGTTTGAAAGCTGGTTGTTATTGTTGTTATTGTCTATACAGTACTTACCAGAGTGGCAGTAGCAATTATGTGAGAAGCATTGGATTCCACTCTCTTCTCTCTTCTTTTTATGCCACACACTGTAAACTGCAAAATGTTGACTTTCAAACCTTCATCGACCCAATAAAGGAAAAGGTGGAAAAAATAATATATCTCTCACACACACATATATATAAAAGTATAATTTTCAAAATAAAATTTATTAAGGTGGAAAATTTACATACATGGTGAATGTAAAAACCCTCCTCCACCAAACGATCAAAGTATAGATAACTAAAAAACAGATATTAGAAAAGTTGTGATTGAGATCTGTGGGTTTATATTTGCCACCAATGACAGCGACATAAAAGGAATTGAAACATTGGAAACTCTAAAACACATGATTTTAATGGCCATTTAAGCAATCTTTCCTTGACAAAAGCATGATGGATTTATGGCCCGTTTGGCTAAAATGGAAAACAGACAGAATAATTATAAAAAATAAAAAGTTGCTTCATGGTTATAAGTTTTCACGTTCAAGATATGAAAAGAGTCCCCACTTTGTTCTCAATTTTAATTGTGTAAAGTTAACTTTTTTTTTTAACATAAAGAAGTATTTAGCTGATGGAGAATATAATTACTTAACGAAAGATAAGGTTGCAACGGTTCAGGATTAAAATCATAGTTATAGATAAGTTTTGGAGAATAATACAGATTCCCATAATTTAATATAGTTATCACGTCTCTTTACTAAAACAAGTTCATTTATTTATATTGTAACCTTGAATTCATACTTAATTTCAATTTATCGATCATGGAGTTTAACACGAGTAATTGATATATCCGTCTTAAAATTTAATCGTATATGATATAAATTCAGTATTTCATAAAAAATAACCTTTTGTCATACTTTATTTATCATTAAGTATACTTTTGTAAGACAAAACTTTTATGATATCAATTAAAAAACTTAATTTTAAAAAATATAATTAAAACAAGTGTCTATACATATTAGTTCAAGTGACCACGTATCATCATAAATATTTAACTTTAAATAATCACAAACACTTTATTCTATTTTTGAATTATGCATGGAGTTAAATTCATGTTTGACATTTATTACAAGATCTTTCGCTCCCAAATTACATGTTGGGAATTAAGTCATTTTTATATAATAGGATAAGTTTTTTTTTTTTATCTAGAAAATATTATTCTTTTCCACAGTGCACCTAAAAATTATAGAAACATCCGTCAAAATATTTTTCTTTTGAGTCTAATATTAGTAAACTCACATAACTTCATTATTAAAAATTTTATTTAATAGACATTCTACAACAAACTCAATATAGTATTTTTTTTCCTATTGAAAATAACTATATTGTAAAACATAACATCCTATAATAAAAAATGACAAATATTTAGAGTCTAATTTATCTTACACACATCATTAGTAGATTTTGGAAAATACTTTAGTTTTATTCATGCACACCCACACATTTTTATTTTAAAAGCTTAAAATAATTTATTCCTATTTTCAAAGTTTTTTATTTCTCTTAACGCGTACACCAACTCATCCAGCAAGATAAAACTTAGAGTTTTAGAAAAGTAAAAATTATTTAAAGACCATAATATTTTAACAACTTTTTTTAACAATTTTTTAACAGACAATGTATCATTATTTTATTGGTTTGTATATTTAAAACGAACCAATCACACGCTACCACATAGGTTATTGTTAAAAAGTTGTCAAAAAATAGTTGTTAAAGAAACATTTTTCATTATTCAATGAACATTCTTACTCACTCAACGAGACACTTCTAAAGATATACTTATTTAACTAATACTTGACTTATCCCGTTCTCTATGAATTTATTAGATTTTAAATTTTCAAAATTTTCTAAATAAAAATTTTATATTTAGTTTATAAAGTCCTTACTACTCTTAACTATTTTCAATCCATTAAATGTTTTCTTTATTTATTAGATTATTAATGTTTGGAATAGAGGATAAAATTATTCTTATTATTAAAATATTTTTTTAGTTCACATCTTTCCCGTCTCCAGTAACCACAACCAATAATGTATAATTATTAAAAATATAACATTATAATAATATAATTTAGCATCTCTCGTACAATAAGATGAATAAATGAATTGAATAATTTAAATACTCTCAAGTCACGACTGATGTTCAAATGCATTTTAAAAAATCATAAATAAGTAAACAAGTCATTTGTATTAAATGATTATGATAAATTTGATCAATACTTTCTTAGTAATACGAATTGTTATACATCTAAAGTCATTACCAGTGTTGGAACCTTATCCTATTTGGTTAAGTTATTCTATCAAATACTATTTTATAACATATTTTGAATAAAGGTAAGTTTATCATTATTTGTGTAGAATAATAATGACGGTCCCATGCAATTATTTTCTTCTTATTTCTTCACAAATATCAAGCAGCAAACTTGTCCTATCTCTTTTCTCTTCATTCTTTCTTTGTTGGTTATCAGTATCCTGATTCAAACAAAATCTTAGAGATTAATTTCAAGTTTTTAACTCAAAAAAAAAATATATGTTTTCACCTTTTCTTCTTATAGCTATATTTATCAAAACTTTATCTTTACATTATTAGTACTTTTTAAGTTTCTTGATAGAAAAAGAAAATACAACCCAACAGAAAGGCCAAGTTTGGTGAGCCCATTATTCCTTTGGGTGCTTCTTCTTGCATTTCCAACTTTTCAAAAAATACTAAAATTAACCTTGGTTAAGATGCTTTTAACCTTGGTAAATTTTTTTTTGTTTTTTCTTTGACTTAATAAACTTACACACTCAACCACTATGACACAGACGTTCCAGCAATTTCACTCATGAAAATTGCAATATTAGTTGAATCTTAACCGAATTTTAAAATCCTTTTAAAAATTTAAATCGATTTCAAAATTCATTTAAGAGTTGAAGTGATTTCAAATTCGTTTAATCTTTAAATCTTGAATTTCAAAATTTGTTTAACATTAAACGAATTTTGAAATTCATCGACCTCTTAAACTACGAGTGAATTTATTATATTAGGTCAGAGAAAAAGTTAATTTTTTTTACCTAAGTTAACAATATTTTAACCAAGGTTAGTTTTGATATTTTCTGAAAAGTTGAAAGTGCAGATAAATCCTTTGGAGGTGCAGGAAGAAGCATCTTGTTCAGTTTATGAATGAGCCCATTCCTGTAATTCGGGGGAGGGAATTGAAATCCAGAACCAAAATTTAAAAAATTTAAATAATTCAGTTGGGCAGAACAAAACCAAAATTGTGCACGAAGCTTCATAGCGATTGCTTGATATGCCTATTCTCATGTACACACTGTTGCACTCGTTACAATCTATCTATCGCAGAGTACTTTGCAAATTGGTAATGCCTCCATGTTCATAAAATAAGAAGTGAAGGATCGCCGAGATCAACTACTGCAGTGTTGATGTATTAAAAGTGAGAAAAAAGAGACAATATAAACAAAAAGAACAAGGATTTACAGTGTTTTCCTATATGATATCTATCTGAAATGTCCATAAATGGTGTTAGAGAGGGCAGAACAGGAACAGAGCCACTAAAACAGAGGCAACATAAGCTATGCTCTGCGTTTGAACCACAACTAATGGCGAAGAACCACTTGACTGAAGCCTTGATAAGTACATCATAGTTTTGTTTACCAGAGGAAGTTGTGCTCCATCTTTTCGTGCTCCCAAAACTTTCTGGCTGTTCAACATACATGCACATGTTATTAACAATTATATAATACTCAAAAGCAGTACAAACTCAACCCCTACAAAAAACCTAGAAGACGACAACATGTACCGATAAAAGAATGTCAAAAAGATGAAACAATCTACATCGTCCATCTGTTTCTGTCTTGTTACGGGATTTAAGGGTGAGATGTCGGGCATGAAAGAAAAAACACCGAGGAAAATCCAAACTCAAAAAGGAAAAGCGAGGGTTTTGTGGAAATTAAGAAGCTCACTTTTACATAAATACGTGCATTGATTGGGACATGGCTACAAAAATGTAGTCCAGTGATCACTATTTTCTGCAGGTGTGGTTAAATTTCAGCAACAGCTTCTTATAACAATTCATAAAAAAATGTCTTGAAAAGTTAAAAATATTATCTTTATTTAATGGGTATGATAGAAGCTCATGAAAATCATATGGACCACATAAGATGGACAGCTCAAGAGCAAAAGAAAAAGACAGAACATAGATAAAGTCATAATTACCCTTGCTTTAGAGATAAAAGAAGCTGAAAGTAAGGTTGCCGGGTGATGGTGAAATAGTAACTGTACCTGGTGTAGGGCAAGGGGCAGAAAATGATCAAATAGTTCGCGGAGGCACATGTGTAGGTGCTCGTCTTGTCATCATACGCGTAGCTATACGCGCGTGGGCATGCGTGCTTGAAGAACAGCGAATAAGGAGAGGGACCACACGTGTCAGGCGTCGCGTACGCGCCGCTGCAGCAAAAACTAGGATCACCGAAGGCCTCGCACGCGCTCCGGCACGCCACGCTCTTGTGGCTGCCGTTCACGCGTGACACCCTTAGCTCCGCCGGACACCCGCCGTTGAGGTCGACGAGACACCCCGTGGGGCTGCACCCGCCCCTGGTGCCGTCCTTCGCCACGATCAGCATCGGAAGGTTGTAACCGTCGACCAAACTCACGTCGTAGAAGTCCAGCCCGTCTGCGCCGTTCAGGGTGAGCTCTGCCAATGTCGCCGGCGGCTTGGCACCGCCGACGCACTCTACTTTGCCGGAGCCGCAGTCGGCGGTGCCGCAAGAGAACTTTCCGTCCGAGTCTTGACCGCAGAGGGTCCGTGCCCATATCCGACCAGACCAAGATTTCGGGATTTTTAACGTCTTCGATTCTCCGCTCAGGAGGGCGAATCCGGTGGTGGGAAGCGGAGGCGAGGTGGCGCCGGAGAGTAATCCCGGCCATATCGTGTGGCGACACTTGTTGACAATCTTGAAGGATGCCGATTGTACCTCTGGAAGTTTCAGCAACCGGAAAAGTGGTCAAAGAGATTTATATTTAAAATTTGTGGTTTTCTATAAATCTGTGATTTTGGAAATTACCTGAGAGGAAAGTTAATGCGACAAGGCTGAGAATGATGAGAAAGAGAAGCCAGCGACCCATGTGGATGACTGAGAATAACCAGAGAACAGAGATTGATTCAGTTTTATTGTGAAGCTGAGTGCGTGATTGTGTTCTTCTTTTGCTTTGCTTTTCTTTTTCTTCGCCACCTCTTTCACTTCACTGTTTCTTAAGCCATCAATGAAAAAGCTTTCCTTTCCTTTTTCTTTTTTAATATACAGTTTCCCTCTTAACTTTGGGACATAGCAGGAATTCATGCACTTGTGGAATACAACTCATGTGAAACACAATTCCACTATACTGATATAACATCATCATATTAGGCAAAACAAGCCACCAATATAGAGGAAAATCTCAAGCAGACAAGATGTATCATTGTATTAAGGTATTCTCTTTTAGGTGGTGAAAGTCTAGAGTTGCTAGTTTGGAGGTTCCTTAAAAAATATCAAATTCACTGTATTATTACTCTTTTTTCTTAATTATTTGATAACTATCCTATACAATTATAAACCAAATGATTATATTTTACGTAAATGAACTCTTTTGAGTTGGCTAACCGTTCTTTTAGACATAAAATAGTAACTGAAGTTGAGTTTACTCACTTTTTAACTTTTTAGCAAGGTGACTAAATCAAGAATTCTGATAACTTTTACATTAAATTATGTCAATCGTCTTTGTTTTTAATTTTGAATTCTCAAATTGTTTTTTTAGGTATCTCAATTTAATTTTTATTTTGAAAAATTTGATGTAATTAGATTATTTTATTAGTACTGTATTAATAATATTAAAGAGGTATTACTTGTTATTTTGTGAGTTTTTTGAATTTTGTTCTTTTTTTTAAAAGCAAAATTTTGACATGTGCATGTAACCGTGGCAGTGTGATGTGGAAATGGTAGCATAACATGTCCGTGTATTTTAGTTTCAATTTAATTCTTATATTTAATTTCATTTGGTCTTAATTTTTTTAAAATTAAAATTTATATTTTTAATAAGATTAAATTTATTTATATTTATATTTAATATTAAAAGAAAATAACTTATTTGTATAAAAAAATTTAAAATAGAAACTAAATTTGAGATGCATAAAATTAGGACTCATTTATTACATCAAATTTCTTAAAATAAAAATTAAATTGAGATGGATTAAAAAAAATAGAAACCCATTTAAATTTTCATAAAAAAATGAGACGAATAATATGATTTAACTTAACTTATACGAGCTAATGGTAAGTTTGGGCTTGCAAAGTTTGGGCTTATAAGTATATTATTGGACAAAGAAGGGTCACACTGGTGAAGGCCCAGGTCGAAATGACACCTGATAACATATGGGTTGTTTCTTCCTGTGCCCATCAAATTTCTTCCTGCGGCCCCATCAAAAGCTTCTGGAAACTTTTTTCCGGATGAGTGTCTTCTAGAAAATAAATCCCTGAACCACTGTTCCGGAAATCAAAATAGGTTTGATAGGGTGCATGAAGAAATTTGATTGGTACAGAAAAAAACACAGTAACGTTTGTCCAAAAACCAGTCTCATTTTTGTACTCAAATGTTGATCTGTTCTTTTGCTCATTTCTTCCACAGTGAACAACACAAAAATGAACAAAAAGTAATGAGATTGTCAATAAAAGAGCTTATGAACAAATATCAATTCAACCATTGATCCTAGATTACTGTGACGTTATACAATTGATTGCAGAAAAAAATTGGTTTTTAAACAGTGATTTTTATTCAGATGATTGTTATTAGTTGTTGTAAAGTTATCATGGTCCTAAAGAAAAATGGTTACGAAATTCAGAGATGGGCCATTTCAACAGTGAACTGAAAAACTATGTTCTTTTAAAACGAATACTATTCTCATTCAGCCGTAAAAAGCACAACTTTAATTAGGAAATAATATCAAAGGACAAGGCCCTGTAACATGTATTCAACAAAGTTGAAAAATGTATCAATTACTGTAACAATTTAGCTGGCAAACATAGCAGAATATTTGTTCGATCTCCACAAAGGAAGGCACTAAAGTGAAGCAAAAGCTCTATTTGATGATGGGATTCTTTTGGTGACAGGAGAGGCCCAGCTCCAGCATGGATGCAAAAAAGATGAGCTACCATGATGGTGTCTGTGGATAAATTACATCACACCGATTATATTGCATATGCAAACATAGACATGCATCTTTGCTACCAAGGTTGACCACCATTGCATCAACAATTACTCATGCACTGATGGTGCAATAGTAAGTAGCCACGTTATGCAGTGGAATCACAAGTCAATGCAGGCTTCAAAAAGTGCTAACGTCAATCTTCCATGATCAAAAATACCACACCGAGAAAGGAGATATAGATGCCAAAAAGGATCTAGCATTGACCTACACGAGGAGTTTTAATCATTGCAGTGCCTAATCATCTTTAGAAGTAAAGATAAAGAAAGTAATTTTTTTCTCGCCAAGTTAAGATAAATTAAGTATAACATCAGATTTCATAGCTATAGCTATAGCTGCTTGCTTGAAATTCATACATGATTATGGTATGATCATGTTCTACTCTAATATAAGTAAGCTAAGTGGTTAAACTTAAACATCAGCATGTACTCTTTTCCAGACAAACCAAATTCAGTCATAGATTTTGATTTCTCTTTATAGGTTTGACTTCCCAAAATCTCCAGCAAGTTCACCACTAAATGGTGTAGCATGCTACCACCTTTAGCAGGCACACCAGATATCGTTAGTTTTTTGTTGACTCCGCAGTACAAGCATTCAGTTAAAACTTCAAATTCTGTTTCTGTTTCAACATTATCATTGGAATGAAAAATGCAACTTTTCATCCATGGTCCCCAACCACAGTATTGGACCGTGATATGATTCAACTAAAAGAACTGTCTCTAGCATGACATGCCCTGTCTTCAATGTTATAATCCAAGCATCATAAAAACTGTATTTGTTGAGATCGTTCATGATTCCCTCTCTGGTTTCTGCTGAGTCACTTTGACTGATTTTTGCAGACATGTCTATAGTATTTGCAATTTAGCATCCCAATTCGTCACATGGCCAATTAAGTTGTAGAAGCAGCCGTAGCGTAAAAATGAAGCAAAAGTTTCATGACAAATACTACAGTTAGAGAAGAATCATAATTGAAGCAGAAAATGGAATCGTTCCTTAACATCATTTTGCTTGGAAATTGCTTGAAAACGTGCAGAACAGGCTGAATGTGCTAATTATGCAGACACCCACGTTAACCACCAATTCAGCTGACAATGAAGGTCACTAGAAATCTTGGTTGATCCAACGTTGGAAACAACAGAACAAAGGTAAAATTTAATAAAATGAAGAGTTGATGGTAATAAAAGGCGCAAAGGTTTTGATTATGCTAAGAATATATTTGAAGAAACTAGAAGGTAGGCATTAGAATGAGGGTGGTCAAGGAGACACTAGCCACAGAGAATGTTTCTGGTCCCAGTGAGTTGAAAGTGTGACTAAACAAGGAGTGGGAAGTGGGCTTCCAACATTCTTCATGAATATGTTTGGTTGCCACTAAACCATATGCTTTTTGGACCCTCAAGTCGTGCATGCTTCCCTTTTTATTTTAATTTCTACCCTCAGTATGATCAGCAGCACCACTGGGTAAATGATGTTCTTATCTTAATTCATAAAAAAGACAAACTCATCATGATTTATCATCATGAGCGGAAGGAGAATAATCAGTGAGCTCTTTGGCCAACGCATTCAAATTTAAAAAAGACAAATATGAAGGCTGGTAACTTTTCCCTGCACACTGTTTGGACCACTGTCAGAAAATTTCATGACAGTGAAAACGAAACGAACCATTTTACCCCACCATGAAATATAATGTATTTCATAAAGGTTCGACATTGTTGAATAAATATTTGACAGAACTGAAGAAACTTGGCTCTATTTGTTTGTTTTACTCCAAGGTAAAAAGTGCTGGTGTACTAGAAAAGAATGAGAAATTCTTAATGATAGCAGTTAGACCAAAAAATTCCATCTTTCGGAGGAGGGTAAAAAACAAAGAGAATCTATAGGATGAAGATAACATATAGAGAATACTTTTTTTTTTCTTTCAAGGAGACACATGAGAATATTAGAGTACTACAGAAAATCAAGATAAACATTAACAATTTAGAGGTGCAGCTGGGCAAGGGCACATGATCTAACAGTTCTACCAATGTTTTGTCTATGTATTTATCCCATATGGCATTATATTATTGTGCATTTGGAAATGTAAGCAAATAAGCTGCATGTGGAATATGTTCTAGTTGGGGTTTGAGCATGGAATTTGGTGGAAGGGATTCTCGAGTCTACAAAGAGTTGGCCATGTGATAAAAGCAGCTTTCTTCGACTTGCAAAGCGAACACGCCCGTTTGGCTGCAATCATGTGGTCTACAATGCTATTATTTCCTACATCCTTCGTTTGCTTATTTCTTTTTTCATCCTCCAAAATTGACGTTGTTCTCCAACAAACGTACTTTTTAGCCTCCACATTCAAACACCATAACCAAAGGGATTAATATGTGAGCCAAAGATTAAGGTTAAGGCAAAGGTGTGGACAAGGTTGGTCACACTTTTGTTTGTGTCTGCTATAAAACCATCAACTGAGCATGCTGTGCTAGATTCAACTTTGGCCAATGTAAATAAAAACGTTCGGATTAAAGGGTCAAAACTTTGGTTCATGAACATTGGAGTAAAATTACAAATAACTGCACAACCATAGTGTCGAGTGAGCTCTCTCTGATCTTACGTGCAATTAAAAAATGATCTCAAATTGGCAAATTGATGAACATTCAAAGAACAGTGAAGTTGGGTAAAGGAAAATTGCAATTATCATTAGCTCGGGAATCGAGAGGCCCGCTCGTGCGGACAAGCCATCACGCTTGCTAAGTAGCTAGTAAAATATGTCATTTCAGAGCAATTTACTCATTTTTATATGAATTTTGTTCATAACTCATGCTCCAATCCAAACCAAAACGTGAGCATTAAGGTAAATAACAAAAGTTGTAATTACAAAAAGGGACTCCAGAACAGAAGAACCAAGGGATTTTTCGTCAAAGCACCTCGGGAGCTTTTACTTTTTGTTCTTCAAAAAGTGGATTCACTCGCTTCCCAAAACCACTCTCTACAATAACTTTCATACACTCTCTCTCTCTCTCTCTCTCTCTCTCTCTCTTTCAACCTTCGAGAACCCTTTTGTGTTCTGTCCTGTATATATACCACCACCTCGACCCTCTTCTCCTTCCATCTTCTCTTCCATTTTCCAACCTCAACTCACCCCAGAAACCTACTTTTATTCTAAGTCTCAAACCCCATCA